AAACTGTTAAAAGATTTGGAAAAAGGAAGAATTATATTGAAATCTTATATAAAAAAATTAATTATCACAATGTTTATTAATAGTTGAACTAAACTATATTGACAATACAATTAATTATAAATAAACCTTACAGTAATTAATTTTTTTATGTAAGGTATGGTTGTAATTCTCCGTTTGAAAAATTGCCTCCATCATTCAAGCTAAGTAAAGCACTTATATCATAATAAAATATATACAAAAACTTGTTCCCCTTATTTAAAAAATATAATAATTTATTTTTTGAAATTACTCCTCTAGTCCTCATAAGGTAGAGAGAGAAGATTTATTTTGATTCTATTTATAAGACATTTCAATAATTATTATGTTTATCTTTATTCTTTTACTCCTATTCAATGTTAGATCATTAAATATTAGAGTATTTTATTTTTAAAACAGGCATTTAAAAGTGATAAAGTTAAAAACTTATTAAATTTTAAAGCAGGGTTAATCAAGGTTAAGGTTTTCCTTGATTTTGATAAAAATATTGAAAATAATTTATAAATAAGATAGAAGGACTAGATGTTAAAAATATAAGGCATTATTTTTTTTGATAGGATATAAGGCATTATTTTTAGTTTTTAATACTTAATTATTTATAAAAAATACTACTTTCGATCCTATTTATAAGTTACTTTCACCAATCTCATTAATACCGATATAATAAAAGTTTAAAAAATAAAATTTAGTAAGATTACAAACATAACCATTAAAAAGTAAATAAACTAATATAACATTATTTTTCTATTCCTCTCTTTTATTTTTTAAGAATAATTTAAATATTTTATTTAAAAGAAAACATCATTATCAATCAAATGACTCATCAAGCGAATCACTTCATTCTTCTAGAAAATGACCAATAAAGTAGATTAGAGGGAGTGCTCTTAATAAATGCTTTATCAAATTTACATTATAAGATGCCCCTAACCTTCTTGCTCACCAAAAATAAGTAATCAAGTCATTATAATTTTGTTTAAAAATATAATAAAATTTTATTTTTTTCATGCTTAAATGATTTTTTTTAAAATTTGTATTACATTATCTCTTAAAAAGTTTAAATAAAAATAATATTAAAAAATATAATTAATACCTCACTAAATATCTTATATTTAAAATTATATATATCTTTTACAATATGTCTTATAAGTGAATTATTCAACCCTTCACTTTTGAGTGAGAAATTCTATTATTTAAATATAAATACGAAAATATGACATCATTTTAAAGACAAGTAATTAATTTATTGAGATTATAATTTGATTAAAAATATCATATATTTTTAAATGAGGTAAATAAAAATTTTAAAAAAATATGCGAAGTTCAGTGAAATTTGAGGAACACGATAGGAAAATCATACATAATTTTGCTTAAAAAATATAATGAAACATACGAGTCACTTCGTTCATAGCTACAAAAACATACTATAGATTTAATTAAAATGCGGTTTTGTACTTGAAAATGAAATAAAAAGGGGGATAAATTAGAAAATGTAGAGGGAGAGGGGATTGGGGGAGAGCACGTGGGGTGGAAAGCGACCACACCACGTGGATCGCCTCCCCCTCCCCTTGCGATCATGAGAAGGACCACCTCAAATAGAGGGAGGAGGACGAGCACGCGCTGCGTGGAGCGTGAAGGGAAAGGGGGTTGCCTGGGAGAAGGACGACAGAGAGGAGGCGTCGAATGAAACGGAACGGGAACGGTTGAAGATCACGTTCCCCGTGGCGCCGTCAGTGGCCAGTTGATGGGATCCCATCATTATACGCATTCAATTCCATGCCCCCTCACCCCTTTTCCCTTCCTCATGCCGTACTCTCTTCCTTCACATCTCTCTCTCTCTCTCTCTCTACATTTCTCGTATCACTTGGGTGCTTATTAATATTAAGTTATAGTTATAATATTAAAATTAAAGTTATAAAAAAAAGAGTATGACTTTTTAAATTACATTTTCTTATAATTAATGAGTATAAAAAATTATTGCTTGCCAATTCAAATTACAACAAATATACAAGTGGTAAAATTAAAAATAAAGCATTAACTATTCTAATTAATTGCGTTTTATATTTAAGACAAAAAAAACCTTTTAAATTTCATCTTATATTAATGAATGGAATAGTATTGCTATTTTTTAAAAAAATTAATAAAAAATACTGATAAATATTGTTATGATTCTCATTCCTGACAACAAAATTTAAACCAAGGTCATAAACAAATTTTTTATACGAGATCAATCTTTTATTAATCGACGCTATATACTGCTGTCCTTCACATTCCCATGCTACTGCCTACTGGCACCTCACCCCACTCGACTCTCATGTTCATTCTACCAAAGCTCCGTATGATTGAATAATTTTTGATAAAATTAAAATTAAAATTAAAATAGAATTAAATTTTAAAAATATGTTTGGTATGTTAAAAAAAAATAAAATTATTGTATTATTTTTATTTGGTATGTAAGACATGAAAATAGGATTATATTTAAAAGATAAAAATATCCCTAAAAATTAAAATCAGAATTAAAATGTATTAAAAGCTTAACTGTGATTTAGTTTTTCATTTACTATGTAATATACAAATAAAATATTATAGAGATGATAGATATTAAAAATAAGTAAAATATTTTATAAAAGAAATATCATAAATATATAAATTATATAAACACACACACATATTATATTATAATTTATATATATTTGAGAGAACAAGAGCTGTGCATTTTGAATTGTGCCTATTGCAACCGTCTGCATGCTCTATTCTTCTAGTATAAATCACAAAGGAGTAAGGGCATAGCCATCTTTTTAATTTTTATATAAAGATAAAATTGTCTTCAAAAAATACAATTACATAAGATTGCTCCAATTTCATAGCTCCTACCAAAGAATCAAATTCAACATTTTTTTCTTGAATCAGGATTCTTGAGAATTCAAATTCACATGTACCAAACAGCAGTGTTTTATGATTCCAATCCTAATTCCTTTTTCAGGCTTATGATTCCACTTTACCAAATATAGCCCAAGTATTTTTATTTATTTATTATAGATCTATAAATATTATTAGTTGATGTTAAGTTATTAATAATATGATTTTTTTTAATTTCCATAATGCATGTAAATAATCATATTATAAATATGTATAAAAATATATATTCTGGTTTCCTAAATCGAATTATTTGTCGGCCATCAATATGTGTTTTTGAACTTGTATGTGGAATTTTACCAATAAAAATAAAGAGAAACTATTTTTCCCGACATAAAAAATTTTCATATATACTTTCTTTACTTCTTCACAGACAAGATTTTTTGTAAGTCACCTAAAATATTTTAGTGTGGTTTTTTTTAAAAAAATAGTGAAAGGAAAATGCTTCACATTTATTAAGAGGGGGTCAAGTTTTGTGTAGGGAGAATTGGGACAAAGATCCATTGGCAAATATATTTGGGGAAAATGACGTGATGAAAAATCTGCCATTTATCTTCCATGTTCTCCTTATTTTGTTCCGTGTTCTATAATGAATGTCCTATTTCATAAATATAATTTCCAATATATCCTTAATCCCAATTTCCCCTTTTTTATATGCTGACCATGATTCACTTGTTCGGAACTCAATTTCTTTGGATACTTAAGACTTATCTCCATGATTTATTTGAAAGCTTTAACATCTGTTTATGATTTTTTTAATGATATTGAATGAATAAAAATATTTTAGATAATATTACCTGGATTCAGTTGAAGAGAGATCATGACACAATGCATAATCTAAAAAATCAGATACATTTCATGACTAGGAAATAGTTATAACTTATACTAACATATTTTAAATTCGCCAATAACGCACAAAATTCCTACAATTCATATACTTCATCATATTCTAAATACATGACCTAGTTAGTATGTTGGTCGTAATAATGTTGTCGTGTAAGAAAACTATTTAATTTGATTATTTTCCATTAATAGATAAAAATATGTGTCATTGTGTATTTTTCATAAAGCACCCATTTTTTTATGAGGGTATTGAGTGTGATAGATAAAAAAGTGAGAGAACAATAAAATTAATCAGGGTAAGACGAAAAATATTAAAAAAGAGACAAAGAAAATTGATATTTTACATTTAGGATGAAAGCATAAACCTCTCAACTAGATTTAACATTGAGTGGGCTCACACAATTTCTAACAATTACTCCTTCTAATCTCATTTATAAGACATCTTTTAAAAAATATATTATATTTTATTTATAAGTTAAGGTATGATTTTTTAAGTAATATTTAAAAAATATTTTAAAATTATTTTTTATGAGAGAGAAAAGGTAATATGATATAATTTTTTGAATTTATTATATAAAGATATATTTAAAATTTTTTATATTTTTATTTTTTATATTGATATTAATAAAATTAGTAGAAATGATTTATGAAGATGATGGGAGGAGTACACCTTAATTTTGTTTTCCAAATCCATGACTTATTTTTGTAGGTCTTGTACAACGTAGGACTTAGTACGCTGGTTGTAATAATGTTATGAATGATTGCTGGCTTATTTAGAGCATATTTAAAACAAAAACGTTATCCGTTTAGTTATCATTATTCTATATTGGAGTTTAAATAGTTTATTATTTATGAGTGATATTTTAACATTTCCGATAAAGTGAAATATTTAAAAAATTTATGAATTTTAATATTTCTTGTTACTGTTTCTTATAATTTAAAAAAGAATAACAAATTAAATTAACTAAGTTACAATTAGAAATAGATAACGAAACAATTTTTGTTCTCATTTTTTAGTAGTCATAATTAATGTTTTCAATTAAACAACCAAACACGTCCTTAATTATGGTTTGCGGGACGCGATTTATTGCATTGAAAAAAGTAAAAACGAGTACAGTTTCTAGTTGGCCAATGAGTAACGGGGAATAATCCATAGAAGGATGCGTAGCACGTAGCTGAATCTTTTTGGGTAGACCAGTGGGCCACAGTCTCTGCATAAGACTAGAGAGAGAGTGTAAGAGAGAGAAGTTTGAGGCTCTCGACTTCTCAACACAAAGAAAGGAGAGATCGAGAAATGAGAAAGAAAGAGCGCAAGAGGAGAGAGAACCAGAGGCGAGTGAGTGACACAGAGATGGAGAGAGAGAGAGAGAGAAACAGAGCAGCTGTACTATGACTCAGATAAAGTAGCCTTGGATATTTGGTCACGTTGATTCAGTTCTTTGCAGGCGAAACAATAATCAGCGACAACGACAGCAGCAAAAGGAAAGAAGACCCATCATCATCCTTTGGGGCTTTCGAAAAATTTTGAAGCTCGAAAAGGGGTTTTTGTTCTTGGAGCTTCAGACTTCGAAGGCAAGAAAAAATAAGAGGGATTTCGGTGCCTATTTTGTAACCGAAATTGGAAGCTGCCGATATTTGTGAGAGGGCGAAAAGAAAATAAAAAAGAGAAAGGGCAATTCATATTCGTTACTGAAAATATAACTACTCGCTAATTATTATCATTACTCGCTCGCATAACTGTTTTGTCTGGTTAGTGCTTTCTCTCTCTTGATGGGGTAATCTATTGTTGTGGCTGCGTGTAGTAGGAGCTGCTGAGCTTTTGGCTTTTTGTTTCTGTGGGTTTTCCATTTCTTCTTCGTGTGTTCCCTGCTGCGACGTGCTGTCTTTGGCTGTTGAATGGCACATCTCGGGTGTAATCTCAGGGGCCCGACCACTTCTCAAGCGGATACAGGTTAATGGCTATACTTTTAGGGGGATTACTCTGTTTGGATGCTGAGAAAGTTGTGTGGAGAAAATGCAAACGTCTTTGTTTTGCGCAAGCACTCATGGGGCTGTTTCAATCTTTTGATGTAAAAGTGAGAGTTTCATGCCTTTTTTCTGTAAAGGGGGGACGAAATGGGATACTATGAAAGTTTGGTTCGAAGAATTCGGGTTAAAGCAGAAGCAGGGGACTGACCCAGCTGAGGGAGGATTTTGATCTAGAAGAAACTTTGTTTACTTCTCCTTCACTTTCTCAGAAACCATGCAGATTAATAGGCTTCCTCTAATGTTTCCTCTCTTTGCACTCTTGACCACAGACGGGAGATTAAAAGTTTTGAATCACTTAGTTATGTTTTTGTAATATATTTTTGATAGGTTTGGAAGATGGCGATCTGTACACAGAGTTATGGAAGTTGTGCGCAGGGCCTCTGGTGGATGTTCCTCGTGCTGGGGAGAGAGTCTTTTACTTCCCTCAGGGTCACATGGAACAAGTATGCTCTTTCTTTTAGGCTCCTCTTGTTTCTTTTGCCATTTTAGGGTTATTGTTGCTTTCAAATTCTTTCGAAATCATGTTTTCCTTATTCTTGTACTTACATATAAAACTTTTTGGCTTCTGCGTTTGTGCAGTTGCAAGCATCAACGAATCAGGAATTGAACCAACAGATTCCCCATTTCAATATTTCATCTAAGATTCTATGCCGTGTTATGCACATTCAGCTATTGGTACTGCCGTTTTGGTTCCCTTGTGAATTTTCTTGTTCGTTCAGTAAAAGTAAATGTGTATGTATGGAATTTAATTTTTTTCTCAATTTGTAGGCGGAACCAGACACTGATGAAGTTTATGCTCGCATTACTTTGCTTCCAGAATCAGATGTGAGAATATTTGCCTCGCATTCTTTTCTGCTTTAGTCTTTTCTGTCTGTTTGGCTGCTTATAACATGGAGTAACAGAATTTCCCATATTGCTAATTGCTAATTATCTAACATATGAAACGTTTCTCATTCTTCATTCCATTCATTAGGTAGTAAAAGGCGTCTCTAATGAAAGAAATGGTTTTGAACTTTAAATTCTTATATATATTTTTAATTTTTAATAAAATTGACGAAGGGGTTTTCTTGGTGTGGTTTATGCAGCAAACTGAGCCTACGAGCTCCGATCCATGTCCACCTGAGACTCGGACTCAGGCTTTTCATTCATTTTGCAAAATACTAACGGCATCAGATACTAGCACGCATGGAGGGTTTTCAGTTCTGCGGAAGCATGCTAATGAGTGCTTGCCTCAATTGGTATCCAGCTCTTTCGGCTTTCCTTTTCTGAGGCTTTATCCTTTAATCACATTAATTTCATCGATATTCATTTAATATTCAATATCAATATAAATATTAAAAGATATAGGGAGCCATATGGTTCATGAACAGTGTAACTCATCTTAAGCTTTGTGTAAAATGCACAAGGCCTACTCTTGTCTAACACTTCATGTCTGTTTTCTGTAGGACATGACCCAAGCAACCCCAACTCAGGAGTTGGCAGCAAAGGATCTTCATGGGTTTGAGTGGAAATTTAAGCATATATTCCGAGGTAATTTGAATTCTACAACCTTGCTTCATGGATTGGTGATTTAGTAGGGTATTTAATACTTGAAGTCTCTACTAAATGAAACATCATACTTGTATAAGAAGAGAACTCATAGGAACATTGTCTTGGTTCTGCTCTCTTACAGTAGTATGGTGTTTTCCGTTTGTATTGATTAGGTCAACCAAGGAGGCACTTGCTTACGACTGGCTGGAGTACATTTGTCACTTCCAAAAGACTGGTAGCTGGAGATGCATTTGTGTTCCTGAGGTACTTTAATTTTGACAGCTTCTGTTATTTTGTGCTGAATATTTTTGCCAGATCTCCTCCTGTGGTTGTCTGTGGCTTGGTCTCTAATAAATTTTTGTAGGGGGGAGAACGGGGAACTGAGAGTTGGTGTCCGGCGCCTTGCCCGGCAACAGAGTCCAATGCCTTCATCGGTGATATCAAGCCAGAGCATGCATCTTGGAGTGCTTGCCACTGCTTCCCATGCTGTTGCCACTCGTACCATGTTTGTAGTTTACTACAAACCAAGGTCTAAAATCTGGATTAATCTTATTTAGCGATGCCATTGAGTAGTCTGGAACTCTGCCTTACCTTGCTGTCTTTATGCTGGATCTAATTCAGGACCAGACAATATATAATTGGTTTAAACAAGTTTCTGGAGGCGATCAACAATAAATTCGCGGTTGGCATGCGTTTCAAGATGAGATTTGAGGGAGATGATTCGCCTGAGAGAAGGTATTTATGTCCATTATCATCACTTCCACTGAGTGTTACTGTTCTTTAAGTTGGGTCATTTATTGTTGATGATCCTTTGCGCAGGTTTTCAGGAACTATTGTTGGTGTTGGCGATTTATCTCCAGAGTGGCCAGACTCAAAGTGGAGGTCATTGAAGGTGAACATCATTTGAAATTCTTTATATGTTGATTGTGGTCTTTGCATTTGAGCAATGAAATTTTCTGTCATTAGGTCCAATGGGATGAACCTGCAACAATCTCAAGGCCAGAGAGAGTTTCTCCCTGGGAGATAGAACCTTTTGTGGCTTCTGCACCTGTAAATCTCGTTCAACCGCCAGTGAAGAGCAAAAGACCTCGACCTGTTGATGTACCATCTTCCGGTAGGAGAGACCTTCGCCCTAACTTCTCTGAGGCTTCCTTTGAAACGAATGTATGAAAAACTATCAAATTATTTCATCAGTAACCAAAGGGAATAACTGTTTTATTTGCTTTGAAGCTTTGTATGCAACTGAAATAAAACCTTAATTAACAAAATACTACCATGGGCTAATGTTCCTTGGGTTGATTCCTGTTATTATCTAATCACAGAATCACAAATCAGAACAATGATTAAATCTGTGATATGACAAAATCAACAATAATTTATCTTTCTCCTCCTGCATCACATACTTCGTTGACTGGTTGCAGAAATGGTTTCCAATTCAGCTGCTTCAGCTTTCTGGTATCACGGATCATCCCAGTCCCATGAACCTGCTCAATTAGGTGGCGCAACAGAAGCCCATAGCAATGAGATCCAGGTTTTATGGAACGCAATGAACAACACTAGTTCCTGTAACTCTAGATTCCGTGTTGAAGGAGCGTGGCCTCCATCACATTTGAACATCTCTTCAAACTGTCTTCCTGACCCGAAAAACAACAAATCTGTTACAGCTCATCCATCTGTCCCTGGTTATCCTCCTGTCTCTTCTTGGCCAAATGATGCTCCAGCATATGATCAAATTGAGAATGGGAAGAAATCTGAGAACGCTGTGGGGTGCCGGCTATTTGGAGTGAATTTGACTAACAACTCTAATAATGTTGCTCCTCTAGAGAAAGAGTCAAGAGGCTGTACTGCTAGCCCTAGTGGTTCCAAAGAATCTATTCCATGTGAAGCTAAGTCAAATCAGAATCCCAATTGTTCAGTGTACCAAAAGGAGCAGAAGCAAGAAGCATCTAATGCATCACCAAATGAGAGACAGAGCAGGCAGGCATCTTTACCAGCCACGAGGACTCGGACAAAGGTACATGATCAGAACACGTCTAATATTCTAAGACATCTCTTATGTTTAGGATGAAGTTAAACAAGGTAAAGTAGGTGGAATCTGACTTCTGACACCTTGAAGCTTGAAGTAATAGTTCAATGGGTGGGTAGTGCAGTCTTGAAATACTGAAGAGCGATCCGACAAAACCCAAGGACATCCTTGATCACAACATAGTGATTTTTGTGTAAATTCTTTCATATTTTGATGAATGACTTGAGAATATTGTTTGAATGAGAAGGTACAAATGCAAGGAGTGGCTGTTGGTCGTGCTGTTGACTTGACTATGTTGAATGGCTATGACAATCTGATTGAAGAGCTGGAAAAGTTGTTCGACATTAAAGGAGAGCTTCGTACACAGAACAAATGGGCTGTTACTTTTAGAGATGATGAGAATGACAGGATGCTTGTGGGCGATGATCCATGGCCGTAAGTGACTTGAATATTTACATGTTGTCTAGGCTTAGCTACACTTCCTAAATTGGTTGCTTAATGACAAGTTAGTTGATTGTAATCATCTGTTTAACTGCATTTTCAGTGAGTTTTGCAAAATGGTGAAGAGGATCATAATATATTCAAGCGAGGAAGTGAAGAAGATGAATGCAACGTGCCCGGTTCCTCCATCTTCATCAGAGGATGATGAAACTCTGATCACTCTGAACTCGCAGAATAAGGATGAAAGTCAGTAAATTTAGTCTCTTTTGACTGTTCAACTTTTTTTTTTTTGTTTTTTGTTTTTGGGGGGGTTGTTTGTGTGAGGGAAGGGATTGGGGAAGGGTGTCTTAAGATAATTTGGGTTTGTTTAAATTTGTGGAACTCACAAGAACAGTGAAGTAGTGCTTAAGCATTTTAAGTAGAATTCAATAATAGTGTGTCATGTTTGCATGCAATTCTTGTTGCTGCTTTGTTAGTAGCATCATACATGCAAGAATGCCTCTATAAAAATTTAACTTATGCTAAACATATTTAGATTGTTTTTTAATATTTTATTTTCTACTCTTGTTTTTGCCGACAATTTTTATTGTATGCTGAGAAATATAAAAAAAATTATTTTAATTTATTTTCACTTATGTCTAGTTATTCTCATTGAAAATGCATTTGAAAATAATTTTAAAAAATGGGATATAGTACATGCAAGAAACTTCTTTTAGCATTCTTGTTGAGCTGTATTGGATGTAGAAAAAAGTAGAGTGCGAGACAAATTAAATTAAGAAAAAAATAATTTTATATTAAAAATAAGAATTTTTATATATATTTTTATCAACATAAAAATGATTATTGATGAGTGATGATCATAATATAATGAACATTAAGTAAAAGAAAAACATTTTCCCCGCTGGAGATAGAAGTGATCGGGCTACGTCTACCTTCATACCAACATTTTGCTAGAGTAAAATTTATTAAGCCAATTAAAAAAAAAAAAAGCTCAGTCAACTTTTTTAAAACTTAAATTGCGATGAGAGTCAAGTCAAACAAGCCCTAACTAACGACAAGATTTTAACCCTGCATTGAACGGGGGAAGACCAAATTTTTAAAAAGGGAATAAAAAAAGAAATAGTGCAGCCAAAAACAGTTTTAGTAAAACCAGTGGGAGCTGATATTGTGGCATCATCATCAATTCATCATCATATAACATCTCAACTTAGATTGTTGGGTTGTCGTTCTTCAATGTTGGATTTGTAACACTATAAAATAAATTTAGTTGAAAGATATCTTTTCTTTACTTTCAACATCAGCATTGGTGAAGGATATTTATAATATCTCATAAAAATTATATATATTGCAAATTGAATTATTCATAAATTATGAATAAGGTTGACCATGCTTCAGACTTGTACAGTGTATGGGGGTTGTAGCGAAATGCCTGTCCTAAAAGGGATGGAAATAGGGTTCATGACTTGCTTTGTGTTAATTACAAGAATGAATGAATATGGAATCTGTGTTGATCTGAGTCATAAAATCACCAAGTAATTTATATGCATGACATTCGTCTCCCTCCCTATCATAACTTTTTTAGAGCATCAAAAGTGAATGGAAGAAAAGATATGATGTTGGCATTTGGTGGCATTCTCATTCATTAATTAGTAATTAGTAATGGAACCAACTTTCTCCTAGAAACGACAAAGCAACAGAATATATAAAAGCCGAATCTTCAACACCCCCCCCCCAAAAAAAAGGAAGAGTGGCGTGCAAATAGTTTGCAATTCCAAAAATTGAAATGATCTAAATTTATTATTTATATATTTTTAATTTAAATACTCGTTTTTTAGAGTTCAACCATTAAGAAGATGTAGAAAAGTTCCAAGTTGGAAATGAAAAAAGGTTTTAAATTTGACGATTTGAGGTTGGGATTGGAATGTGGAAAAGAACAGAAATGTGAAGAAAGAAGGATGGCGAAAGTAGTACAAAATCAAAGTGGGGCCACACGATTTTCCATGAGGTGTAGTGCTAGTAAATGGGACACATGGTTGGTGACATGAACCAAAAGAGGAAATGAATGTCTAAGATTTGATTATCACATGGTTATGGGTCACTGTCATCTCGATGCTCACATTTCCACTTTTTATTTTAAAATTTTTCTTTGGGATCAATTATCATTTATTTTTGTTTAATTTCTCCAATTTTCAAATCTACTTCTCCTTCTATAGTTTAAACTTTTCTTGTGATTTTTTTTTTTTCCATTATCTCTTAACATAGCTCAAGGACAATCTGTCGTCGTCGTCGCTGTTGGTATGAAAGGCATGCATTTTAGTGTTAGTTTTATTGGCTCGTTTGGGTAGAGGCAAACAATATTTTAAAAGAATGGAATTAGGATTTCATTTATGTTATGTGGATGTTTGATTGAAATTGGACATTCCATTCCGCCCATAATAATGACGATTCCAGCATCAAGGGGAATGGTGATTCCATCATACCATCAATGGAATAGCCTACCATTTCTAGCATTGTTGGTAAGAATTTGAGGCAAAAAAATAAAATGCCCATTTCTCTTAAAATTATTTTAATATACTATAGTCATTTAATCTTTTTCATTTTTATCCAACCAAATGCAAAAATAAAATTTGTCTTTTTTTTTTACCTCATGACATACCAATTTTACTTTATCCTTAAAATTTTTCTAATACAAGTTTTCGACGTGTTTTTAATTTCTAGATAATACTTAATTGCAGTCGTTAATTTCAGTCGTAATGCTTTACCGTTGGGACGAGTGAGTGAAAGTTCTTTTCAAAGTGGTTGTCTTGCTCTTGAATTGTTGGATCAAGGACTGTATTGATCAGTCTCACATTGTATGAGGCAGCTTCATTGTACTCTTTCTAATTTTATTTAAAGGATAGAGACAGAATTTTTTTTTTTACTTATAAATCATATTATTAAATTTTTATAATAAATTTTTATTTTTATTTTCCATTGAATACTAAAGAGAGAGAAAATATGTCACTCGATTTATCTTTATATATATAGTATTTTTAATTAAATTTTACATATTAATAGAAGTTTGTTATTTAGTTGAAACAATATAAAATCACAATGATTGTTCACTTAGTCCCTAATAATATCGCAATTAATACCATGATGGTGGTGATACAACACATAATTAATGTCTACTCCATTTTTCAAGATAATGACAAAAGTGGCTAAATATTCAAAAACATCAAAACAATATTTATATTTAGAAACAAAATAAACTTATAAAAAATATCTTATATATAAGGACAGATGAAATATTAAAATATATATATTTAATAAGAGTAAAGTTGAGAACTTGTTAAATTTATAGAGAGAAATTGATGAATTATAAGATTTTCTTGATTCTATTAAAATATATTAGAAGTAATTCATAAATAAAAATATATGAATAATTTATCAATGAGATCATAATAAAGATTTTGGTGTCTAGGTCCAGATATCCTGTGAACTCTTTTGTGCATTTATAAAAATACGGATTTAGTTTAGATTATCCAAATGAGACATGAATCAACTAGATTTTAAAAATTTATTTATTTTCATTTTCATATTTAAATAAATCTATGACTATATGTGTGCTTGTGATCCTTCCACATTTTATATTTGTTCATATTTTTTCTAAAAAAAAAAGAATGTTCGGGAGATTCACATTTATTGAAATGTGTCCCATTTAAATAACATGGGCTGGTTATTTGATCAAGGGCGCATTGATGGGCTGGCTTGAAGTCCATGCTTGGGTACAGTTGAGTACTTTGGCCTGCTTTAAATATTTGTCTTGTAAAACAAAGATAATGGGCATACAAGGCTTCTCTAAATTATGTATCCTTCATGTTCTTCATCCCTTCTTAGGCAATCATCAAAGCTTATCAACAATAATATCAGCATTAAAAATTAAATATAATATCGCAAGACTTTGCCTAAGCATTAAAGACTCAATAATTAATGTCTTGGTGACTTAGTGACATAAAAAGTTATTCTCTTATCCTTATATATAAAATATTTTGCAGAAGCTTGTTTATAATATTTTTAGTAATAGAATAATTTTGTCTTTATTATCTTGAAAAGATATTAATTATATATTTTATCTATCACCATGATATTAATTGTAACATTGTTGAAAGTAAAATTAAAAAATTATTATAATTTTATGTGATTTTAATTAAATAACAAACTTTTATTAATAGATAAAATTTAGTTAAAAACACTTGTGCATGTGGGGAATATTTTATAACTAGGAACTCGCGAGTTCAATACTACTTGAATTCTCCTTTGTTTTTCTCAATTGTCTCCTTGTCATTGATTGGGCTTATTTTTATTTTGTCATAAATACTTCAAATTTCGTTACACGAAATTCGAAAGTGACCATCTGAAAACAGATTCAGAAGCAGCAAACAATGACCAAAAAAAAAAAAACGACGTAAAACACTAAAGAAAGCAGCAAATGAAATTAACTAATGCCTAGACTAACTCTTGGGCAAGGAGTAATTGACACATAACTTTGAAGCTTCAATTGAAACAAAAGTGATAACAGAGGACAAAGAAAATGATGGTGCAAAGCAAACACTCACTCTAAATGACTCATTTCTTCAAAATGGACTACATTTAATGAGGATATGTTAAGAAGGTTGAAATACATTTTAATATATTACTTTCTCTGTCTAAAATTATAAGATATTTTTATACAAAATTACACATATTAATAAAACTCATTAGATATACTTTATAGCTTTATTTTTAAAAATAAAAATATAGACTTTCAAAATTATTCTTCATTTAATACTTCAAAAAATAATAGACTTTCAAAATTGTTCTTTATTTAATACTTTATTTATAAAAAATATTAAAAAGAGATAATATAAGGAGAGAGTAATATTAAAAAAGCATCATTAATAAAATCTTATTTTTGTCAAAATGTAGTATATTTTAGAATATCGAATCTCTTTCAAAAATATTTTATAATTTGAGACAGAAAAAGTACTTATATCTCTTAATTTATGCGCATAATCCTTAAAATAACACATAAAATGAAACAAAGGGAGTGGCTAATTTGATTACATTTGAACATATAAATGCTTTATTTAAAAAAATCATTAATTACACTCTAAAAAAATATAAATACTTTATATTTTTGAACATCTAATCTAAAAAAAAATTCTTAAAAAATTGCCTTTTATTCTTTAAAAAGGGAGTATGTTATATAAATGTCTAAGTCAAGAGGCGGTTTATTAATTAAGTCATCTTGCTAATGCTACTGCGTATGATTCGCGGTTCCACAATGGTACAATTTAGTGCTTTAATTATTGCCCTTTTCCACTTAGTGAATATTCATTAGCAATGATTGATTGATTAATTAATTTAAGTAATTGCTTAATGGGATTTGTTTGGATTAGGCAAATCAAAGGAAAGGCAATCAGACTCGGGCTTTGGTGTTTATTTGGATTAGGTGTTAACTTTAAGGATCCCGTGATCATAACAAATCTCTGTGGGCCAATCCAG